TGTGTGTGTGTGTGTGTGTGTGTGAGTGTGTGCAATGCATGTGTGAACATGTGTTGAGAGAGGCATTAAATGTCCTCATTACATTCATCATCAGATACATCTGAATGGTCCATGAAAGATGGTCTTCGTGACCTGAGGCTTCCAGCATGCCATAAGTTGATAGCTGGGGCTGGATCAAAGTCTGCAATAGGGGCAGAGGATAGCTGTACAGTTAGAAGGTCAGACAATGTCTTACCAGCTTCATGGCACTGAATCCACGTTCACAATCTGCTGTTGAAGCAGGAATGGAAAGGATGAGGTCAACCACGTGTAGTATGTCTGGGCAGTATTGGTCAAGCTGGCGACTGATTGCAGGCCAGGTAATGTTTCGTAGGACACCATGGTTCTGGTATATCCTGGACTTCAGAATAGTCCACTGGTCTTGGATTTCTTCCACCTTCACCCCAGATTTCTGAAGCAGAGGTTTGAAGTGTGTAACAAGGTCCTGGATGTCAGAATCACCGAAATCTGCAAGAAGAATAAAAGATATAGAAGATGTGCTAGGCAAATATGACATCAGTGACTTTTGTTGTAGTAATGTTTTGCGTAGTCATTTTTAATTGTAAATAAAAAACTAACAAGCTCACCGCCATTTATGTCCTCCTCTGGCCAATAGCAGAAGTTAGTGAGCCGCATGGCACTCAGGATCCCGTGGTTCATATCTTCAAATCTGTTGAGCATTGTCTCTGACAGCAGATCTATGAGACGGCCTTTGGTCTGGTGAAGAGAGTGTTCATCACATGGCCTCAGACTGATGCCCTCATACAGGTTTGTTCCCAGCACTGTTTTCAGTCTAGGTCCAGGTCTAAATTAAAAAGAGAAAGGAAGAGGACAAATTGAATTACATTAAGTTACTTAATATTTGGCATAACATAACTGTTTGTCAAAGAGTCTATTTCGTGATTTTACCTGGATTTGTATTTGAGAATGATGGCGCGGGTAGAGGACAGGCAGTCATGCACTTCAGCCAGAGTAACTGAGGAACGCTGCATGGTTAACGACAGGCTGCTGAGCTGACTTAGCAAGTCATGGAGGAAGCAGGAGAATTTGAGGACTGCTCCATCCTTCATAATATGAAGAAATCCTCTGGCCTTTGCTTGCTGTTTTTCACACCCACCTCCAAGTGACTGCATCTGATTTGACATTTTAAAACATTTTTACATTTAAAACATTTTAAATTCATTAATACAAATACTAAAACATTTTAATGCACACTTTGACTATGTATGTATTGCCCTGTCAAGCCTAAACACATGATTACTGTACAGTACATCTGTACAGTAGATATGAAATATGAATTCAAATGTCAATTAAATATGTCAGCAAAATATTATTACCAATGGCATCCTAACTTAAGCTATACTATACCTGGTCTAGGTGGTACACAAGTCCCTTGTAACCTCTCAAGAATTTGTCGAGGGTTTGCAAGACATGTGACACCCACCGTGTTCCCCCTATCCTTGTTGGCATTAGATGTTTCATGCCCACTTCTTCAAATCCTTTCTTCAAGTTTGCTCTATTAACACAGCTCTTGCGATAAAAGGTGTAGAGGCCACTCAACAACTTTTCGACTTTCCTAGCCATACTAATGTGGGTCATTGCATCTGAGAAGGCCAGCTCCAACCTATGGGACATGCAGTGTATCCCTAAAATATATGATCTGTCCTGGTGCAATTGGGTGACAACTCCTTTTTTTAACCCCGGTCATCACAGATGCACCATCAGTCCCACAAGCTACAACTGCCCTGTTCCATCTTCATTTCCTGAGACTGTCTCCATTAATGAAGTGATTGCCTCAGTGATGTGAGTGGCATCAGGTTTGTCCACTGCCTGGACACCCACAAAACACATCCATTTTCCCTGCTTTTGCGAACCTCACATAGACCA